TCGTTCGCAAAAGTAATACGAAACAGGATCCTAAGCTCACCTTCCTGGTTTTATGTCAGTTGTTTGTGACGTTAAGTAGCAGGACGTTTTAGATAGGTCATGATTAGCTCTATATATCTCTTAGCATCAAAATATTGGTGATACACTGCATATTATTACTTAGTCTAAAGAAGGAGGTGCAGTAAATATACTACTCCAAAATGTGATGTTACTCATAGAAATCTGACAATACCATCTTCAATAATCTTCGGTTTTAGGAAACTATAGGCGACATTCGACCCTTTAGTGCGTTGGCCAGTAATTGAAATATAATTGGTCTATCGCAATAATCGTACAGCTATATGTGATATGTCTGAGCAAAACCGTTTAATTCGAGCATGTTCTTCTAAAGGTACTTGGATATTTCCCTACCATTATCGGTCACATTTAAAGACCATTTAAAGTCACTAATAAGGCATCAGGGAGTTTTGGAGCCGACTGAAAAGAAAACTCTGTGTGAGTGGGCCGATGTCTGAGAGATCTATCTGAACTCACTTTAACAAAGCGGAATATGGAACATGGTTTAACCTTAACCGAAGTTATCCGAATGGGGCTCGAATGATTCCCATGGGTGTGTTGCTAAAGTCATTCCGGTTAAGCAGACCGGACTTCGTCAGGGCTGTTTCGTTAGCTGAATTTTAAAAAGGACCATTTAGGTATATGATGGCGCAAACTAAAATCATTCAGTTTGCTCGTTAGTCAGTAAATGCGCATTTAATATTTTCTGCACAGCTGGCTTACAGGTCACAATTACTGGTTTTGTTCTAGAACGTATTCATATTTCATGTTTCGTAGAATTGTCATTGCAGGCATTAAATGTATTTGTGGTGGCATGCGTTTTCTCGTGGAATACACGGTTGTGTCGTTCCCAACTGTATTAATTTTATAAAAAGAAATACTGCGCAGTAGACTAGTTGTTTGTTAATGTGTACAATTACAGACTATGCGGACCGGACGTGTTTTTAGTATTTCACATGCCCATTGCTCGAAAGCGTTTAGTCCGTATTATGCTTTTTAATGCACTACTAAAATCACTGCCGTGGGGCGCCGCGTTATTCAATGATTATGCTATTGAATATTTGCTTCAAAACATCGTTAATATGGAGATAACACATCTGAAGTCTAATAAAAGTCGTTTTCCGATACAAGTTCATTTTGAACGAAGCGAACCCAAAACAGATGTCATTTCCTAACTGATATTGTTTAAGCCAGATACGTGCAACATGCCTGAGTCGTTGAGTTCTCCAGAGTGAAGATGTTTTTTGCGGAAAACGGTATCTTTAGAAATGTATAATATGTTTAGTTCGACTCGATGTCCCTATTTCATACTGCTGCCTATGCCAAGCATTACACTCCTCGCTGGTTACTTGATTGGGGTGGTAGTCAAGCAAATTTTGCTCATCCTTACGAACGTCATTGTCGAATGCATACAAAACAGTTAATTACAGCAAATAATAGATGCGGTAAAAGAAAGATAATTAACGTTGACATGTTAATTACCGTGTAGGATGGGCCAAAACGTTTCAGTCACGGCGAAGTGGTGACAACAATACAATTATTTTATCGACGCTTGCTAATCTTAATTCAACAACTAAAGACAAATTATTTATTTTATTTTCACAGCCCTATTACAAGTAATTCTCAATGTCATTGTATGCTCGTTAATAAGCGCGGAGCACCATTCCAAACAACCTGCAGCGTTATATCCATAAATATACTTCATTACGTGTTAAAAAAACCTCACATGGAGATACTACCACTGTACACCGGAGGCTGAAGCGGATGAGATTTGGAATCCAGTCTGAGGGTCACTTTAGCCGGACAACCGATTTAGAACGCCCCCGAGTTGATTATGACAATCGTCTCTGGCAGAAGGTTGTTAACAGTATTTAAGCAAGTCTCAAAGTAACTTAGGTCCAGTGGCAAGCGACTTCTCCGTAGTCTCCGGACGCTTCGTGAAAATGAACATATTGTGCTAGTATGACCGGACTCGGGATCTGGAATAGTGCTGATAGACAAAAATATTACGTGGCGAAACCCGAAAATTTTTTTTCGGATTGTACATACACCTAAGTTTCTTTCTATTAAAGACATCTTAACGCAATTGGCTACCTGTGGCCCAAGCCGAGTCAAAGACCAAGTTTTGGTGGATGGCGGATTAATAAATGTGTTTCTTTGGAAATAACTACCAAAAAATAAAATTTTTGAAAAAAACCCGACTGCCCAGGTTCTCTTTTATGTTAGACCTTAGCGCCAATTACTATAGAAAAACGAAGGATAAACTTTTACGGAAACCTGTAGTTTTTTTAGTTTAATTAAGAATGCACACAACATTTAAGGGTCCTCAAAGCGCGCACAACAACCTAAACCATTGCGAAATTATCTTTGAGTATTCCTCGTGGAGATATAGATCTTTTTCCGAATATCGTTTTATTTATGTGAGTTTTCTGCTTTCCAAGCCCAAGACTCCAATTGGAGTTCGTTTTAAGGCAACATTGGTTGCAATTCGAGACTGTTTTTTTTATTTGTTTTGACGTCTTCAGCAACGCTCGTTTGAGCTGAGCGTTAAAGGCTTCGATAATTGGATCAGACTATGATCTCCGAAGCATAAGGGAATCCATGCAGTAACTGGCTTATCGCATGGAATATCAAGTGTGTACCAGTTAAAAAGGCTGCCAATGCCAGATACACGTAGCCTGAGCTAGCTGAGCAGTGCATTTGGACTTGCGGCAGTGTCCACAAGTTTCATTTTCGCGGGCTTTGGCTTGTGATATCTCCTTTCCTCATGGCATGGTGTTCAGGTTTTCTTAAGAATTTCAGCAAGAAAGAGCAAGGCTGAAAGACAACCAACCTATCCCCTGGAATGCATGATTTTATACATGGTATTTTACTTCGTCTGATAGGCGTCGGCATTTGATTATTAGGCTCAGGATATATACACAGTTCACCATACAAATTCCTATAAATTACGATGGTTCAAGATTTTCGTTACTTACGCCAAAAAGATACATGTCAAAGTACGCTCCCATTGCGGCGTTTCGACGTCAGCATACATTCTAAAACCACAGGAAACACATAAACTTTCCATGTCAATATAATGAGGATTATCTCCTATTGCTATGATGTGATATGCTATCAGATTACTGTGGGACTGCAATTACGAGGCTCAGTTTCGTACGCATTAACAGTTGAATAATGAAATAAATAGCATAGAAATGTGTAGGGTAATATAAGATAACAATTCGCGGATTTGATTTTACTGGCATCATTCGAGCAGGCAGTAATGAGGAAAATTGACTTGGAAGTTATAATGATTTTTTGGAGTTGTCGCGTACACTAGGTATTATCGGGATGCATGTCGAGTAGAGAAAAAGTTGCTTTTATTTAATTTCAGAGTAATTGAATTTTTGAGTGTTCCTGGAAGGAATACTTTTTGTTAGTTTCAAAACAGGCGAGGCGGCGAAATTTCGCGATATTGAGATGATGTAAGCATTTAAATGGCCTCTCTTGGTAAATTTTCTATTTGCCCGTTAAAATACTTAGACCATTTGGTTATCGCACGACATCGGATGCTGCGGCGCCTGTGGTTACTGCGCCGTGCAGGCAAAAGCCCATATGTTCCCCATGTTTAATTAATGCTCAATTCGACGGCTTCATATTCACTCAAGTTTAACACCAGACTTGCGGAGGCAAATTCTTATCAGGATGTATTGAACGGGGTGAATATCCCAAATAATACTGGAGGACCTTACGACGAAATCATATTGCCACATTTAACTGCATTAAAACGACATGCAGAAAGCCATCTAGAGACAGTTAATGCCGGAATTAAAGAACTCCACCGGAACTTGTGTCAGAGAGCAGTGGCCCTTGACCGCCTTGAAAACCACGAGAGACCGACATTTAAAGATTATGCAGAGGCAGTCAGAATTAAAAGAATGGAGGCCAGGTGGACTAAGCTCCTACGAAGCGTCCAGTCAGTAAAAGCTCAGACCGTCCTTCCGAACAATCCGGAACGGTACGCACATAACTATTCCTCAGTACGTCTTGATAAAGCTCTCGTAGAGGTACTAGCGCTCGGTCCTAAGTTTTGTATTGCACGGTGGATGCCGAAAAAATTAGAGCTAGAAATCCAATTTGAGAGTCTCTTTAGTCAGACTACAGATCTAAAACCTAGCGATCCTAAAGAAGTTGATTGCCTTAAGTCGACCCTAGTTAACTGCTGCCAACAGTATCTAAGGAAGGCTCCCATAAGCAAGGGTCCCTTGACAAGGGCTTACATTGATAGCCTTAGGGAACTCCGCAAAAACAAAGACATTGTGCAAACCAGACCAGACAAGGGTTCAGGAGTAGTACTGATGGATAGAACGGATTAGGTGGCGAAACTAGAGGAAATACTGTCGGATCGTTCCAAGTTTTCGAAATCCGATAAAGATAATGATCACACAGAGGCTGTCGATGGTCAGTTGACGAGTATTCTCAAAGACCTCTGCAAAGAAGGCCATTTGTCTAGTAAAGAGTGTGAACGACTGAGGCCGGTGGGCACGACAATACCAAAAATGTACGGTCTTCCTAAAATCCACAAACAAGGGCTCCCCATACGTCCAATTATGGATATGAGGAATTCGCCCTATCACACCGTTGCAAAATGTTTAGTGGATAGACTGAAGCCATCGCAAGGTCGTGTGTATCCTCGAAGTCTGAAAGACTCCTTAAAGTTCGTTGAAGCTATCAAAAATATGAACGTTGGCGGACGGAGGATGTTATCACTGGATGTATCATCGCTGTTTACCAACGTACCTGTGTCAGAAACGATAAATTATCTTTGTGATGTTCTTCGCGACACGAACTATCCCATAGGCATGCCAGTAAAAACGCTGAAAGAACTACTGACGCGCTGCACACAAAATGTGCAGTTTTTGTGCAATGGTCAACTATGCAGACAAATAGATGGCGTGGCAATGGGACCACCTCTTGGAACGTTCCTTGCAAATGTTTTTGTGGGTAAAGTTGAAAAGACAAGATTACAAGATGCCATTAATGACCTCGTCTTCTACGATCGGTACGTGGACGATATCTTCTGTCTGGCGGATGGTACCACCGATATCGAGCACATTGATCAAAAGTTCAACAGCGCGCACCCCTCGCTAAAGTTCACTGCTGAGTCTGAGGCAGATAACGAAATTGCGTTTCTCGATGTCCTTCTACACAGGCAGGAGGATGGGTCTATCCAGCGCAGGGTGTTCCGAAAGAAAACCTGGACGGGACAGTACATTAATTTCCACAGTTTTCTTCCCCTCAACATCAAACGAAATCTAGTCCAGTGATTGGCAGCCAGAGTGAGGCGCATCTGCTCACCTGAAGCTATTGAAACAGAGCTCCAACACCTGCAGAACACACTTCGCGAGAACGGATATCCAGATAGATTTATCGTCCGAAATATTGGGGAACGCATTGCAAAGCCCACTGTTGCGACTGCAGAAAAGAAAGATGTATTCATAAGATTGCCTTTTGCAGGGTACGCAGCGAGCGAACTAGTCAGACGGCGCTTAACTACAGCTGTCACGAGAGCATTCCCCGCGGCGAATTTACGCGTATGGTTCACAAACTCTCCCCTCCTACGTTTGGGAGATAAAGACAGACTACCGTTGGAGGCCGCATCAATGTGCATCTACTCATTCACTTGCTCCTGTGGAGCAGGATACATCGGCCGTACAACGAAAGGCCTGGTAAGGAGGGTGCGTGAACATATGCCCGCCTGGCTAGGCAGAGGTGAGACCCGATCGGTTTCGAGTTCTATTCTTGCACATTTAATCGATACGGATCACCGAGTTGATGCCAAGGAAGCATTTCAGGTTGTCTATCGGACACCAACAAGCTTCTCTAAAGGCCTACGCCAACGGATACTAGCAACGGCCGAGGCAGTGGCAATACGGCTAACGAATCCGATGCTATGCTGTCAGAAAACCCTGACACAAGCGCTCTCTCTGCCGTGGCCAAAGCCAACCTCACGTGATGACGACATGCCGCCTCAAATCCCTGATTACGGTGATGGGTACTACGTGTACTCAAACCAACAGCATCACTCAAAAACTCGCTAACCCCCCTTTCCCAGCCCAAAGGACCAAAACCCGCCGACCTCGTCATGCGGGCGGCGTGGGGAAGATGAGTGTTAATGACATAATTGAACTTGAAACACCTATAAACACTGTTAATTTTGTACACTTTCACTCCTTCATGTAATTGTATTGGCCAGACGAAGAATTACCGAAAACACGTGTTAGCCAACTTGACTTTTCAAGTGTAACATGGGAATATTTGCGGAACTATTCACTATTTATTATTGATCAGTACAGATCGGTGTCACACTCTTGCCGACGGACCATTTAAGGAAAATAAAGTCACCTGCACGTAGGCACCAAGTGAATACAAGTTGTTCTTCAAACGAATTTCATCCCCAGTAACACAATGAAAATGATGGCATGGGAACGTTTCTAGGTTTAAATAAATGGATTTAAAAACCGAATTTTACTTTCTAGTTTTTTAAAGCAAATAAGTTTTAGTCGTCGCACTGATGTGCGACATAGTGCTCCACCAGATTTTACGGCGTACCTTATTGCGCCAAGTAGTTTCTATCAGAGTTTAATCCCTTTCGTATCAATGAGACAGGTACCACAGTGGCGAAATACATTATAATTGTCTTCTATTGACTTCATCCATACCATTTGAATTCCTTCTGATGCTAAGGATAAAAAACTGCATTTTGCGCTTTTCAGAAACTGATCAGTTATGCCTATGGTCTACGACCTTCACAGTGGCATTGACAACGTAAATTAAGAGCCATACATTTCCCTGATTACTAGGGAATAAAAGGCATGCGTTTAAGCTAATTGGTTGAATAAACATTATTCATATTTGGAAGTTTATTGGACTAATGCGTCAAATCAGAGTCAGAGACAGATAGGAATAGTGGTAGGGCAAAAACTGCAGTGTTATAGCGTGTAGGTGTTCAAGGCATCAATCCCAATAACGGTATAACCAGTCCGCCTTCGACTGAGATGTTCTATCCATTTATACGCAAACACTGTTCTCGCATGCGTGATAATGCCAGAAATCACCCTGAGAAGAAGCCGTGACAGCCTGAAACTCAGCCCCCTAAACCTCCACTGCGCACAAACACACAACTGAAAAACTGTGTGGATTTTATTGAGGCGTCGGTCGGCAGCCTTCACAGCTACGGCGCTTATTGCCCCATAATGTCAGACTGGGAGCTCACGTGCAGCAGACAAAATGCAGGGATAAAGGGCCGAGAAGATAACTGTCCAGTCGAGCGAGAGGGGGTAGATTAATCGCTTGCATTACTCGGTGGTGGGTAATATTGTTGGGTGGTGCAGGTATTTGTGGCTTAGGCATATTGATGTGCTGTAGTCGGCGTTTGTCTATCGCGGGTGTTAGTGAATGCGCATGTGGCCTGACAGGTCCATGCGGCGGCCGAATGCTCGATAATAGTGGGGCTGTTTGAGGTGAATGCTCCCGAGAGTAGTTCCCCAGTCTTCGTGCTATGCATTTGCAAGCAATCAACAAACCCAATGTGTGGGGTTAATGGGCGATCAGAGTGAGGACCGGTATGAACCGAGTCCAAATGACTAGTGGCAAGTTTGATATCGGTGGATGTGTGGGTGGTTTGCGAGGCATAGAAATCGCGGTGGAGGCTGACAGCGGTGCCAGAGGTTTTCGATTTCGTTCCGATAATCGAGGCAAAGTTTATGAAAGTGTTGGTGTCCAACGGCAGTTCCGTACGGAGATTCGATGCGTCAGTGGTGGATCTTAGTCGACCGCCATCTCCAGTAGAAGTGCGAGGAGATACGCACCTATCCGTACACTGCCTTCGTGGATCTGATGAAAGCCTTCGACACGGTGAATCGTGAAGGACTGTGGACGATCATGAAGAAATTCGGCTGTTCCGACAGATTAACTCAGAAGGTGCGTCAGCCCACGGACAAAGAGACAGTCCATAGGCATTCTCACTGACAAACGGAGTGAAGCAGGGATGCGTCCTGGCACTCATTTTCTAAAATATAATGTTCACTGCCATGCTGATAACCACCTACCGTGATGGACGTCTGGGGATCCGAATCACCTACGGGACGGACGACCCCCTCCTCAATCAACGGCGGATGCACTTCCAATCGCACGTGTCCACAACCACAGTTCACAAACGTCTCTTCGCCGTCGACTGCGCCCTCAACACCATCTCGGAAGAGGACATGCAAAGGAGATGGACCTCTTCTTCACCGCCTGCGAGAATTTCGGTCTGGCCATTAACTCGGAGAAGACGGTGGTCATGCATCAAACGCCACCCAACACAGTCCGTCCCAACAGTGCGCTGCCGCTCACCGTGAGGGGAACCTAACTGCAGGTGGTGGAGGACTTCAGGCATCAAGGCAGTAACTTTCTCCCAGCACGCAAATTCACGACGAAGTGCCACGCCGGGTTTCGAAAGCCAGTCAAGCTTCGGCCGTCCTCAAAACACAGTTTGGAATCGTCACGGTCTCCAGCTCAGCACGAAGCAGACGATGTAAAAGGCCGTCATCCTTTCGACACCTGTACATGCAACAGAGCCTTAAACGGTGTACGGGAAGCAGGCACTTCGACTCAACCACTTCCACTTCACGTGCCTTCGCCGCTTACTGAAGTTTACGTGGCAGGACCGAATCCCGGACCCTGATGTATTGAAACGGACAGGAACAGTCCGCCTCCACGCCATGCTGAGACAACTGCAACTGCGATGAAACGGCCATCTTGTGACAGTTGGGCGAAGAGTGGCTACCCAAACGACCCTTCTATGGAGAGATCACCATGGGTTCCCACCGCCAAGGAGGCCAAATTCGTCGATAGTTGGATACTCACGAGTCCTCATTGAAGCGCCTGCAAATCACCTTCGGGTCAACTGTAGCACTCAGGGTGCACCAACCATCGACACTCCGTCCTCGCCGTCTACGCCGTCTAATAATTCTGACCGCCTTCCTGAACCACCACTTCCATCCTCCTCATCCTCCCCATCTTTCTCCACCGCTGCCACAATTGCTGCCGTTTTGGCGCATGCCACGCACGGTAACACTACACACAATCCCGACACAACAACAACCACCAACACCACCTTCATCGACACCAGGCGTAAGGAGCAGGACTACACATGTCCTCAATGCGACCGCACCCTCACCTCACACAACGGCCGGATCGATCACTTGCGATACCATCGCGCAGACGCTGTCGAACCAGTGCTTGAAGCGCCAACTTAAAACCGCCGCACCCGCCTTCACTGTCAACACTACCCTCGCACATTCATGCACTGCATGGGTCTATTCGGCTACATCCGCATCCACGTGAGTGGAATTTGCGACAGTCCGACATATCCACTGTTTTGCATGCAAAACAGAAGGTTAATTGGATAAAGAATGTGCACTGAGTACCAGAGGCAGCACACAGGGGGATGCTTGTGGAAATGACCGGTTATATGGCAGGAGCAATTGCCATAGACTGACGGGTGGCCAATTGGGACAAAGAAGATATAAACACGGGTTAAGATCTTGATCGTTCTCTTGTCACGCGTTTGTGGTATGGTTTCCGCACAGCCCGTAGCCAAGTTACTCATAGGGCGTCTAAAGTGTGTGACCAACTCCAGAAATGAACGCAATTGACTAGTATTTTTGGAGCGTCGTACCGACTTTAAGGCTTAGAGCATATGTTCGAGTGTATGGAGGCCAGTTTTATGCAACCTGAAGCCCGGGTATTCCACCTAGTCGGCCTGTGACTATATATCGCCCAGATATGCGGTAACGTGTAATATATTCTTCACGAGTTTATCAGTCAAGCATTGAAATAAACCGGGAACCGAACCTACTCCAAATCGTAGTCTTTTATATCGCACCAAACCCCGATGCGTATTGATGGTGGTGGCGTGTCGGGATTCCGTATCTATGACGACTTGGTTGTAAGCATGCTTCAGGCCCAAAGTTGTAAATTCATGACCACCTGAGAGGGCGTGCCCTCTTTGATGAGAGAAACAAATGGACAGTGTCGATTTCAAACTTTACGGGATGACGGTCAACCGGAAGAGTGCTGGTTTAGGCCGATTTGAACAGCGCGTTGGCCATATGGCCTTGCCATCTCCAGTTCTATTAGGGTTGTTCGCATGCGTTTTAGTGTTCACTCGTCTTTTGAAGAAACACACTCGTTTAATGTGGCTGATTTCCTAGCAAAACGTACATACCGTCTTCTGGTGTCTTCATTCTTGACACAGGATCTCATGCTGACCACAAGGGTAGTAGGATGATATTTGTTTTGCGGGAGCTGATGGTCCAGGGGGATAAATTGGAAATAGGACGTGCACTGGGTCGAGAGGCAGACAAAGTGGGGATTATTGTGGAAACGGCCGGGTATTTGGCAGGGAGGGCTGTCATAGATTGATGTACCACCAATTAGCACAAAGAAGACGTAAACAGGGGTCATGACCTTTATTGTTCGCTTGTCACGCGTTTATGGCACGGTGTCCTGACAGTTCGGGTAGCATACACCGCATCCACCACATCCAGAATATCCACCATGCCCAGTCTCTTGTTCACTTTGTCGTGATTTGCGCCCACCACCACCACCACCGCCACCACCACCTGCGTCACTGACACCGATACCACCGACTTCTCATGCCCACACTGTCCGCGCATCGGCCTGCTCCGTGACTTGCGAATTCATCGCACAGAGACTGACAAACCTGCGCCTTAAGCACCAAACAACACCCATGCGCCGCATGGATGTTTTCGATGATTCTCCCTCACCAGCATCTCATCAGACATCAACATAACCCACCACCAGAATACAACTGCCACCTCCCACGCAAGTGGGAAGTGTGCGTCTCGACTCGGTCTCCGCGCGGTTCCTGTTACATGGGTGACTCGAGCCTGAGATAAGCCCAACGCGTCAAGCGCCGCGAATCGAAAGGCTGCTGACGAACACGTCAAATCAGACCAGGCAGTCCGTCCAGTTGCGTTGTGTGTGTGTGTGTTTGTGTATCGACGTGCACTAGTAACAGTGCAATCATAGAAGAGTTATTTTTGGTAGAAGTCCATCTTCCATTGGCCGCTCCGATTAACCCGCAATTTCCTCAACATTGCGTGGATGCTGCGAGTGCCTATCCATTCCAGGAATTCCGTGTCGGTGACCCTCTCTTGTCATCTCAGATTTAGTATTTTGCGGAGACAGGAAAGATGAAAATGATTGACTTTCTTGGCATGGTTAGAGTAGGCGCTTTAGTTCTGCTCTCCATGGAGAAGTCTGTCAGCACGACGGGATGTTACATCTACAATTTGGTGTTCAGTTGAACGCCGTTACGATCCCACATGGAGTTCTGTAGCCCTCCAAACGGCTTGGCTAAATTTGGAGATCCAGTGGACCACTTCGTCGTCGATTCTGATGCAGCGAGACATTGTGCCGCCTAGGCAGCTGAAGTTATCCACGGTTTCCATTTCGGTGCGAGTAGTAGCCTATTCAGCTCTTGATGGGCGGTGATGCGTGACCACACTTTTGCCCGTTTTTATGGTCAGTCCGACGTTGCCGCAGCCGGAAACAAAGAGGACCATGCTCCGTTGCACATGTTCTTCGATCGTAGCGCAGTCGTCGGCAAAAACAGATCGTGGATGGTAGTTGTGGATAGACGCGTCGTCTCTTGCATTTTCGTGAATTTGGGAAGGTACCCGTCGGTCCTGTAGTCCATACGGTAGGCGTCCATCTACATGACAGAGAAAATGAGGCTAGAGATGTCGGCATCCCTGCGTCACTCCATTATTTACAGCTAATGCCTTGGAGATTGCGCCGTTTTCCGTGATGCGCGCCATCATGCCATCAGGAGGCTGACGAACCATGCACGTGGATCGCTCGGAACAGTCGAACTTCTGTATTATTCTCTACAGTCCTTTGCAATTCACCTCGCAGAAAGCTTTTATCAGGTCCACGTATCTAGTGTAGGAGTGAGTCCGCATTTCCTAGCACTTTTGTTATAGCTGACGGGCGGAAAAGATCAAATCGTAGGAGCACTTGTGAGGTCACACGCAGCATTGGCTTTCCGGCAAGAATCCTTGAGCTTGCTGATTGTCAAGGTGGATGCCGACGATGATTTATTAGGCGATTTTGGCTAACTAAATGCCCCTGTGATAGACACAGAGTTGCCGAAGCCACTTGCAGTTGTAGAGACAACGATATTTGCGTTCTTGAAATCCTGATGAACTAGTTCGCAGCTTTACATCCCCCGAAGTAACCTCGTGACTTGGTCCGTTTGCCGGTGGCCTCCATGTTTATAGATCTCAGCTAGGATCACATCAGAGCCAAGTGCTTTACCGCCGAAGAGATATTGAACAGCAAAAATTGTATCAGGCAGGGAGAGTGAAAAAGGAGGTCGGTGTTGATTTCCAATTGGGAGAGCCGGTCGCTGTCAGTTCTCCGTTAACCTCAAAGATGACGATGATGACCACCTTCAAGTGCAGGACTTTATGCATATTAGAGTGCATACTATCTTTTTTCGTAATCATAAATATTATTTATAAGCATGCATTTCTGTTTTATATGCGTTTGTATGACCATATACATATAATATGCCGTCCTACCTGGATGTAATCAAGGGAGATAGGTCTGAAATTTCAGATTTTCCATGGGAATGGGGCCTATTCTCTCAGTCAAATTGGTTGCTGTATACGAACAATCTCCATATATATCCTTCAATTTTTGGCGTTTGAAAACTTCGCATTTTGGTGTGTGATTACAAATCGCCCACGAATAGCCAAATGCATGCTGTCAGTTCTGTATATAGCAGACGATCGAAAGGGCAATCGAAATGAAGTGGCCCGATTATAATTTATCGAAACCAGTTGTCTGATCGCGAACAAGTCTTCTGAAGTCCGCTTTTCACTTTCCTCAGCAGGTCCTGAAGTTATCAGTAGACGGTCAGGTAAGACCATAACAGACATCGACAACCCGCTCACCGTGGTTATAATGAAGCGATGTAAAGATGTAGCTCTCAAAATACACAGTAGTAGTGCGGGAGGACGAGCATTTCCAACTCATTTTAAGTGCTTATAATTTAGCTTTGTCATTACTGTCGTCTTGAAGTTACTGTCGGTCAAGCAGAGGACTCGCATACAGCTCTTTGTTAAAAATTTGATGTCAGGGAAGCTGCAATCGAAAACCTTCTACAGCCGTGACTCTTTCCACGTTGTTGACGAGGACATATTCGTCCTCAACCTCGGTATCTGTTTTGGTTATTTCATAGCTAAAAGTTTTAACCGCCTGATCCGCATCAAGATCAGTATCCTAATTCATACCAATTTGCCTTATTTAACCCTATTTTGAGCCTCTGATTGATATCTTGTGCCAGCACACATCTTCTATTTCTCGCGCATTTTACCGCTTTTAGTTTTGTCCGTTCTCAATTCACTGGTAAATCATAGGAAGGGCTCATAGATCCGAGCTTTTTGTACTGGCAACTGTAAAAATCGGAGTTTGCCCGTATGCGAAAAACAAGCGAGTTATTTTAGGATATTTCTGACAGTCAGTGCTATAAAACTTAAGCAAAATGATGAAAATTTTAAATTTTACTTCTCACACGTTTTAAAATAAAAAAACTTCAGCCTTGTAGGGAGGTTGACTTGACGTATCAACTGATTACCGGGTGACGATAATTCGTTTAAGAGTTCTGGCGGGCAGGCATCAGAACAGTTACCGTCAATTTTGCCACCAGCGTTAAAAAAATATGAAAACTCGTTGGTAATAAATTTGACGATTTCTGTTAGGCTTTTTATGGGACTGAGAAAATTAGAAACCCCTTCCTGCCTCATGTTCAAAAAATAATATTTTATGCCTCCTGTTTACAGTGCTTACAAAAGAAATCACGGTTATATACACAGAGCGACGTGTTCTATGAATTGCCAACCGAAAAGAAGCAGGAACGCATTTGAATAAGTTTCATGCAGATACCAATACATAAAAATCCTGAGGTACAGTGGACATTGGAAATCGACTGACATGTCAGGTACGTGATACTTTTTACAGGTGGCCATTTGAAGATAAAGATTTGCATGGCTAAACACAACAACCCCGACAGGCAACAATGCTGTGCAAACTACGAGCACGAAGTTGACGAGAAGCAAATGTCTTGATTTTTTGCCACCTCAGATGTCAGTTACTGAACTTAATTGGAAATATTGACATGCATTTTTAAGCGAGTCACCCATGTGGTTTGCTCAATGACCCGGGT